TATCTCCCCTTTCGTTTTATTCAATTTATAGCATCCCGGGGCTGGGGATTTAGCTCAGCGGCAAAAGCGCCTGCCTGGCAAGCGCAAGGTCGTGAGTTCGGTTCCCAGTACCGGAGAAAAAACCAAAAAAAAAAAAAAAAAAAAAATTTATAGCATCTCCTAAAATAAACAAAATGCTTAGTTTAAATAAATTGATCAAAGAAGTTAAAAGATCTACACAGTGGAAACCATAAAACAGTCATAAAAAAAACTGAAGATATAAAATAAAGAGAACAATATCTTGTATTCATTTATTTGAAAATTAAATGTGAAACTGTGCACACTACCTAAAGCAATCTGCAGATGCATTTTAATTCCTATCAAAATTCCAATTACATTTTGTCTCAGAAATAGAAAATACACTTCTGAAATTAATATGGAATCACAAAAGATCCCAAATAGCCAAATCAGTCTTGAACTACCTGACCTAAAATGTACAAAATTACAGTAAGCAAAACAGCATCTTGCTTGCACAAAAACAGACACAGAGACCAATGGAATCAAATAGAGAACCCAGAAGTCCATGTATTTAGTCATCTGATCTTCAGCAAAGATGTCAAGATCACACAATGGGGAAAGGATACACTCTTTAATAAATGATGTTGGAAAAATTAACCATCTGTTGAAAGAATGAAATTGGACCCTGCCTTACCCCACATGCAGAAATCATCTCAAAGTGGATTAAGGATTTAAACGTTAAGAACTGAAACTAAAATTGTGAGAAGAGGACATGGGGGAAATTTTGTTGTTGCTGAGCTGAGAACAGGTATTTTAGATGTGACCCCAAAAGCAAAAAATAGGCAAAGAGCATTGCATGAAGCCTTTGTTCAGAAAGGAAATAATGAGAGCATAGAAACAGGTGTATGCAAGCCATAACTCTGATAAGGGGAAATAACCAAACTACATAAGAAACTCACTCAATAACAAGACAAGTATCCTAATGTTAAAGTGGACAAAAGACCTGAAAGACATTTCTCAAAAGACACATTATAGATGACCAACAGATAATTGAAAACGTTATTCAACAACACTAATCATCAGGGAACAAATTAAAATCACAAGATATCACTTCACACCCGTTTTTGTGGCTATTATGAAAATACAAGAGTTAATGTTGATGAGAGTATGGAAAAAAGGGAACCTTCCTTTGTATACTGTTGGTAGGAGTGTAACCTGGCATGTCCATAGAAAATAGTGTGGAGAATTCCCAGAAAAGTAAAATGAGAACTGCCACATGCTCCAGCAGTCCCCCTTTTGGGTATATATCCAAATGTAGTGAAATCACTATGTCAAAGATATATTGTGTTCATTGTAGCGTTATTCGTAATAGCCAAGTATCTTGGTTACTTTTCTGTCATTGCTGAGACAAGATACCTGATGCCCAGAATTCAGGAAGGACAGGTTTATTTAGCTCACAGTTTGTGGAGGTTTCAGCCCATACTCTGCTGGTTCCAAGGCAGAGTGGCATATGGCAGAGGGCAACAGTTCATGGCTGTGGAAAACAGCAAAAGCAGCAAGAGCAAAAAACGGAGGAGCAGCAAACAAGCCTTTTTCCCTCCCTTATATTGCATGCAGGCCACCAGCCCCAGGGCAGGTGTAGCACTCACACCCATAATCCCAGCATTGGATCATGAATTAAACACAAACTCTGGTAGCCCACCCCATCATTGCACGAGGCTTTAGAGGGACATCCAGACACAAACCATAACACCAAGGTATGGGAGCAAATGTGTTTGTCAGAAGATGAATGCTGAACAAAATACAGCATATGTATACAGTGTGATACTACTTAGCAATTAAAAGGAGGAAATCCTGTCATTCGCCGTGAAGAGAGTGAACCTGGAGGACATTGTGCTGTGTGAAATAAGCCAAGCACAGTGTTATGGTTTGGTCTGGGTGTCCCCCCAAAGCCTCATGCGGTCATGGGGCAGGCTTTTAGAGTTTGATTGATTATGGGTGTGAGAGCTACACCCGCCCTGGGGTGGATAGTTTGCATATGTAAGGGAGAGGAAGAGGTTGCTTGCTTCCATTCCTCCCCTGTGTGCTTGTTGCTCTTGCTGTGTTCTGCCGCCATGAGCTGGAGCCCTCTGCCATGTGTCACTCTGCCTTATAACCTGCCAAGTATGGACTGAAACCTCCACAAACTGTAAGTGAAATAAACCTTTCCTTCCTTAATTTTGGGCGTCAGGTATTTTGTCCCAGCAACGAGAGAAAAGTAACCAAGACACACAGAAAAGACAATAGCTGGGCATGGTGGCATACATGTCTGTCACCCCTGCACTTGGGGGGGGCTGAAGCAGGAAGATTGCCACAAGTTCAAAACCAGCCTTGGCTGCATAGTGAACTCAAGGCCAGCCCGAACTACAGAGACACCCTGTCTCAAAGGAAAAAAAAAAGTCATAAAATTTCAGTTAGACTGGAGGAATTAGTTCAGGAGATCTTTTGTACAGCATGGCAACTATTGTATACTTGAAGTTTGCTAAAAGAGTAGATAATAAATGTGTTCACCACACCCAAAAGCAGTGTTTTTTGAGAATTTACTCTTAGTGCATAGCCTAGTATGAATGTGTTTCATAAGTAAAATGCTACTGAATTATCTTTATACTTAATAATGCTACTGAATTGTCTTTAAACTTAAAATTATCAGATGATTTAAGTAGTGAAGATTGAGAAGTACTGTTGCTAGGGGTCCTGATGGCTTGTTCACTTTTTAACTTTTAATATCACTCTGTGCTACTTTGAAACCTACATCATAACTTGGCATTAATTTAATTAGCAAGGATATTTACTGACTTAGTTTGTAGACTTAATGATGAAAATCTGTGTACTTTTTTCCTTAAAGCAGAAGTCATAAGATCTCACTACCAAAATTTTTGTATTAATAAAAGGGCCTTATAAGTATACTTACTTGGAAATGTTTTCCAGAAAAACTTCCAAACTATTTAGAAATAAACAAAAATAAAACCCCTTGCATTAGTTGTGGGATTTGATCAAACCCATGTGCTAGGGAAAATTTATAAATTTTAGTGGATATTTCTGAAAACAAAAGAGTCAGCAGAAATGAATTGAGCATTTGACTCAGAAACTTTTTTTAAAATCTAAGGAAAATAATTGTTCAAAATAAAAGCGGAAAGTAATAGCACAGAGTGCAGTTGATTCATTCATAGTTTTAAGACCACTAGAGATTGATGGATTTAGCAAAACCAGGTAAGAAAAAATAAAGGTGATTAAAAAAAAGAGAATACTGTAGCTGTAGATCATTTTATTTTTACTTATTAAAAAAAGGACTTCCACTCATGTTGACAGGATATGCATATTTAGGTATCTACCCTAGACGCATAGAAATTATATATAAAAAATTATACAACTGCTGCTATATACATCATTTCTGAAACTAGAGGGAAAAAAACGTCTTTAGGTGAAGAGAAAGAGAAATCAAAGTAGTAATTGCGTTGGTATCTCTGAGTACAAGAATTAGAACTGAAAAGGGCAATAGAGATGAATTTCAGGGAACCCCAAGTACAGAATTTCAGGCGCTTTTACTAGGCCTGCTTTCTGTGTGGTGTAGAAAGCAAAGTAGCTTTACATAGGTTTTGTTATGTCTGTTGTGGCTGTCTATCACTGTATAACAAACCACCCTAAAACCGAGTGGCTTAAAAGAATAACAGTTATTATTTGTCGTGATTTTCCGAGGTTAACTGGATTGTTCTGCTTTAATTTTGGGCTAGGCACTGGAAAAGGCTGGAAGGTCCAAAATAATCTCATTCATATGGCTCTGTTCTTCTCTGTTTGGTTCCCCAATAAGCTGTTGGAATTTACTCACATTATAGCTACTTTAGATGTAGGATATTTATACCAAGACAAAGGCAAATATTATAAGGTATCATATGATGTACCTCAGAAACTGTCACAGGGCTTGCCTAGATCCAAAGGGAGGGGCAATAGACTTGCCCTAGATGGTAGGATGAATCACATTGCAAAAGAATGTGTGGGATGAAAGATGTGACAGAGTCTCAGAAATGTAATTGGTCATGGTCTCCTTTAACTTAGATTTAATATTTTGCCCAGCTTGTCAGTAGACATTTTAAAGCAAAGATTCAAACCCAGGTTAATCTAATTCCTTAGCCTTTGTCAGTGACCCTTACCATGGGAGTCACTTCTTTAAAGGGAGAAAAGAGAATAAATTGAAGAGAATAAGAGAAAGTACTTGGTTTCTAAGATGTAAGCAAGATCTTGAATGGTGAAATCTGACTTTATGTAAAATAGTAAGTGAAATTTGTGATAGTGTTAATATTCATCTGTAGGGGTAGAAAATTGCACAATATAATATGTAATGGAAAAAGCAAGTCATTCAGATGGGATGATCTGTAGGAAAGAGGAAGAGGAGAGAGATGGTTATTTATGTTGGGAATGAAGGTAAATGGTAAGTTGAGGTCACTTTACACAAAGCTTTGATGATTACCAAGCTGTGGAGTTCGAATATTTCTAGAAAAAAGAATTTCTGACAGTTTTGGAAGAAGTGTTGATTAGCCTGGGCTTTAAAAAGATTTGTCTGTTTAAACCATGTAGAGTGATTTGGGCCATGGGGAATAGTAAGCTAAATGAATCACAGTGCAATGAAAACAGAGGTGATGATTTTCAGAAAAGCTGAAATATTCAGATTAGAGAGACTGTTCAACATTAGATGTGTGTATCAAGGAGCGGAAAAAGTTAGAGTTTAATGATAGTAAAAGCTAAAAATACCATGCCTGTATTTGAAAGTCATAATGCCATTAATGTCAGTAGAGTCACATTTGTACTCTTCCATTTCTTGAATGTCTCTAAAATTGTTAAAGTGAAGCTATTTTATTTGATCACTGTCACGTTTAACGGGTTTTCATTAATAAATTAAGCAGAAATTATCTTGCCATTTCAGATTTCTCACTCTGAATTTCTGAGCTACTTTTCTTTTCCCCCATTAGGTTAATGGCACTGATGCAGATTATGAATATGAAGAAATCACACTTGAGAGGGTAAAAACTATTAATTATCTTGTTATTTTAAAGAACTTTAAGATACATTGCTTAATTATATAGATCCAAGAGAAAGGTCTTTCAAAAACTGAAAAATATAATATTTCCTCTGGTAAGTTCACAGATCATAAAATTAGCAGTAATATTTTTAGACTGTTTCTTTTCATTAATATTCTTTTCTTGGATAATTTAAAATAAGTTTACTAAAAAGTTACATATGTTACAAAGAATTCCCACTTACCGTGAACTCATCTTCTCCTGGTGTCAGCACTTTATATCATTACATTATATTTGTTTCAACTAGTGAACCAATTTGCATTATTGTTAATTGGACTAAATTTTATTCCTCTTTCCTTAGATTATGTTTTTTCTTCCAGGCCCCGTCCAAGAAACCACATTACGTTTGGTTATGTCTTCTTAGGCTATGGCAGTTTCTCAAATTTTTCTTTTCAATTTTGTGTTTATTACTGTATTTTCATGCCTATAGTATTCATTTAAAGTAATAATATGCTAGTAACTAGCATTGCATCAGTTTTATTTCCTAGAAAAATAATAACTATAGTTGTGATGGAAAACATTTTAAGGGTGCAGTTAAGTTATGTAAAGTTTCTGAAGATATATTTTTAAGAATATCTACATTTAGAAGGAAAAAAAATACAGTTTATCCATTTAAGGGTGGAGATATAGCTCAGCAGTAGAGTTGGCTGCTTACCATGCATGAAGTCTTGGGTTCAGTCCCCAGCAGTGCAGAGGGGAAAAAAATCTGCACTCAATTTATACTGAGTTTTAATAATGCCACCTTGTCTGGCCAGCAGTTCTGGGAAATTAAATGTTCCATACAAATAAATTTCTAAGGTAACTAAATGTCTGCATATTTAAAACTAAAATCTTACAAACTTAAATTTATAATCGAAGCCAGAAAGTAGACTGTGTAGAAAACAAATAGACCTGAGAGGGTCATTTACATGTAAAACCAATTTTTATTGCCTACTCCTTAAATTAAGGTTACCTGCTTAAGTAAGGTAGATGCCTGAGTAACATTCAAGTGAACATAGTGTTAGCGTATATATTTTAATATGATATTTTGTGACATCCTTTAGCTTCTCATTTTTTTTAATTCTTTTAAAATCTCAGTAAAACTTGGGACTGTACATTTGTCTTTTTCACTTACTGAAGAACTTGAGTGCCTAAATAACATGGTGACCTCCCACAGTCTGTTGGTACAATTATTGAGACTCTGGTAATTACTAAGAATTACTGTGGTAATTCTTTGAAGAGTTTAAACTGAAAAAAAAAGTTTTTTTAAATCAAATTAGAATTTTAGGACAGAAACTAATACATTGGGTATTTAAAACTAATTGGTTAAGTAGTAGGTCCAAATATATCCACTTACTTGAGTTGCCTGAAAGCTAAAGTTGGACATTATTGCAATGGTAAACATCTTTAAATACTACTGTGTAGGTCAGTTGTCCTAGAAGACTTTCATAGCAGTAAAACCTTTTCTCTAAAGAAAATACTCAGAAATTCAGTTTCTCCCATTTTTAAATAAGCATAATGTGACCTCCTGTAGCAAAAGTTACTTTGCTTTCAAGAAAGCTACCAATTAAATTCTCAATTTGGGCTTTCAATACTAACAAATGCCTTTTGTTATTTGGGTATCTTAGTTAAGCATGACATGATGGTAGCTGTTCCTTAGTAGCTCCAATTTTGTTCTTTAAAAATAAGCTGATTACAAAGTTAACAGAAGAGCCTCACTGCCACCCTTTTTTTTAAGGTTAAAATAATGTATTGGTATGACCTACTGAGAAATAGTGGCAACAGAAACATCACTTCAGTATATGTCTCTTAGAAAGTTTTCCTACCAAACATAGAAGAGGTGCAGTCTAAAAGAAAGAAATTTGTAGTGACACCTCTGAGATAGATGACTTGACAAATTGCACATACTTTTAAAGAAGGACCTGCAGACTAGATTTGAGAAGTACTGGGTACATTTTCTTTAGCTTCACCTACTGATTCATACATAAGGCCTCTGAGAGCTGGGCATGGTGGCGCACGCCTGTAATCCTAGCACTCAGGAGGCTGAGGCAGGAGGATCATTGTGAGTTCAAGGCCAGCCTGGGCTACAAAGTGAGCTCAAGGCCAGCCTGAACTGGATAGCGAGACCCTGTCTCAAAAAAGACAGAAATAAATAAATAAATAAGGCCTCTGAGAAGACTTTCTGTATATTAAGAGCATGTCTATTTGAGTTCAGAATCTTGATGTTACCCATATTATGTACCTTGCTATGTTGTGTTCCCTACTTTAGTACAGTTTGTAGTCTTACAATGCTAAGAATCTCTCAATAAAGTTGGATTCTTAAATTTTTTTCCCTTCCTCTCCAGGGAAATTCAGGGCTTGGTTTCAGCATTGCAGGAGGTACAGATAACCCACACATTGGAGATGACTCAAGTATTTTCATTACCAAAATTATTACAGGGGGAGCAGCTGCCCAAGATGGAAGATTGCGGTATGGCTTGTACTTTATGTTGTGATATTGAGTCCACTTTGTGGACTTTTCTTGAAGCATACTGGACTAAGGATAAATAGGAATAAATAAAATGAGAAACACTATCATAAAAACTAACATAGGATAGATGCTCAGACAACATTCAAATAAATAGGAAATTTTATTAGCAGTGCTTCCTTCTTTTCATTTAAGAATTTATTCTTAGACAAGAAAGTTAGTGTTATCATAAGTTTTATATTTTGAATAATAAATATGATTGGTTTAAATGCTTATGAACAAATTCCTAGAAACCCTTTATATTTTCTAGTACATTCACAAAATGTTTCTCATTTCTGTGTTGGGAACATGTACAATACACAAACTTATTCAAGATATAGATATATGTATATATATATCAAAATCAGATATACATATATATATGTATATATCTGACTTTGTATCCCATACCACAAAGAGTAAGGTATATGTAAACTTTAAGTAAATTAATACATTTTAACATTAATCTTTTCTTTAAATAGTGTTCTACTTCAGAACTTAACTGCTGCAAAGTTTGTAATTTCCTTTAGCCATAAATGATGGCACCTTTCCAATTTCTTTGGTGGTTGTTTTATGTTTGTATATGGTAACTGGCTGATTGTAAGGCTAAGGGTTTTATATAGTCTGTTACTATCCTTTTAATAAGTGACCTAGCTCTTCAGTTTCTGGATTTCACTGGCTCTGACAGGTGATACATTAATTAAAAAGTGAAGAATTTGACTGTTCATGGAAATGTAGACATTTCTGATTCTGTTACTGGCCTTTTATTTGTGTTGCTTACATAAAAATTAATATATTCCGTTTGTTTCACCTAACAACGCCTGTATAGTACTAAGGTATCATTGCTTTGAGAGTAAAATTTCTTTTCTCTAAAGTTCATTAGAGAGGATTGTCAGGACCAGTTGTAATAGTTTGTGTTTTGTTTCCCTCCCTCCCTACTAATTTGAGATGATTACTGTGTTTTCCTAATTGAATACCGTGCAGTCAAATCTGAGACCACCCAAAGCTAGGGGGAAGGGTTACGACTAGGAGTAGATCAAACTTTTTTAAAAATGCATTATCATACCAAATTATGTTATTTGCCTAATAAACCTTTGAACTGAATGACATAATCTATAATTTCATGTAAATTTAATTCTAATATCTACGATGGAAAAGACACTTCAAAATTATTTTTGGAGGCAGGCATAGTGGCGTATACTTATACTCCAAACATTCTGGGAGGCTGAGGCAGAAGGATTCAAAGTTCAACCCCAGTCTGGGAAACTTAACGTCTTGACAAGGTCTTGTCTCAAAATAAAACATTTTTTTTTTAATTGGTTTGGATGTACCTCAATGTGAAGGCTCCAGGTTCCATCCCCAGTACCCGCCTTCCCAAAATTTATTTTTCCATGAATTCGTGGCTTAATGTGTTTTAACACTATGTCTGTGATCTTAAACTAATCACTCTCTCTGAGCCTTGTTTTCTTAACTGGAAACAACAGCTGTCATTTATTATCTGAGTGACCTTGGAAAAGCTAAGCTTTTTCTTCATCTGTGAAATTACAGGTTGTTATTTAAGGGTTAAAGCACTAAAGAAGTACCTAGCAAGTGATTGGTGCCAAGTAAATGTTTGTTATTTTTTAAGAGTATCTTAGTGCCCTCTTTACTAATAAGCAGGCAAATATTTAATATTTTTATGTAATCAATTATTTGCACTATTTGTCTTCTTTGCTAGCTTTGGAAAATACTATATTTTTACATGTACCTTCCTCATTTATATTTTCTGAATAAATAATTCCTGCTACCTTAAAAAATAACAAAAATTGGTAAAGTAAAAAACCAATACTTAAGTTTTTAAACATTTAACTTTTTCCTCAGGGTAAATGACTGTATATTGCGAGTAAATGAAGCAGATGTTCGTGATGTAACACATAGCAAAGCAGTTGAAGCACTGAAAGAAGCAGGGTCTATTGTACATTTGTATGTAAAAAGACGGAAACCAGTATCAGAAAAAATAATGGAAATAAAGCTCATTAAAGGTCCTAAAGGTACGTGGAAGTTCAGCTAAGACAGATTTTTAAATAAAAAGTCTCTGCATTAAATATAACTTTGAACCTATTTTTGACATACATCCTGAGATCAACAGTATTTGGTAGTCTTCTACAGAATTTGACTGTATAGAATTGGTTATTTCTACTAATTTTGTGTCTTAAGCAGAACTTTAGATGTCTATGTTCCTAGCAAGATTGCAACTTTTGAAAAATTGTTATGGGGCTGGGGATACAGCTCAGCAGCACAAGCGCATGCCTGGCAAACACAAGGTCCTGAGTTTGATTCCTGGTACCAAAAAAAAAAAAAAGTTTTTATGATAATTTATGAACACTATTACACATTTTATTGCTGTGAACATATATGTAGATATGTATATATTTATAATTTGAGAATAAGTTCTATGTGATTTTTTTATATTCAGAATTTCCATAACCTAATAGTTTTTAATAATTAAATATTATCTGTGACCTTTGTCATTAAAAGAAGTGAAATATTCTTGGACCAGTGGAAGAATGCTTGCCTAGTATTTACCAGGCCCTGGCCTTGATCCCCAGCACTGCCAAAAAGTAAAAATATTCTTGACCATAAACACTTTGAAGTCCTGTATACAGTTCATGTTAGCTTGTGCTAAGTAATCTACAGAGCATTTTAAAAGCAGACATGTAGTCTGAGTTAGGAAAGGATTCATGGTTGGAAGTTTATACTGTTTGTCATAAGCAGTGACATCCGAAGTCACATCTTTTAACATGTAATTTCTGGATTTTGAAGATCCTGATGGGATTGAGGATAAGTAGAAATATTGTTTCCAATATATGGCTTCATGGAAGAAGTAGGATTCCAATAAATTTAAAAAGGGCTGGGCGTGGTAGTGCACGCCTGTAATCCCAGCACTTGGGAGGCTGAGGCAGGAGGATCGTTGTGAGTTCAAGACCAGCCTGGGCTACAAAGTGCACTCAAGGCCATCCTGAACTGCATAGCGAGACCCTGTCTCAAAAAGGCCAAAAAAAAAAAAAAAAGGAACAGAGAGTGGGAATTTGTTATTGAAACTATGGGACTTACGAATTGCAGAAATTCCTTATTTAAATTTAATTCATAAAATATTGGGAAAGAACCAAATTATCCACATTTCTAAAGCTTGTTGGTTCTGTCCATACCAGCAGACAAAAGTATCAGTAAGAAGCAGAATTATGATGGACAAAAATAAAATACAATTTTTTACAGTGTTTCTTTGGACTAACAAATCCATTTCAAAAAAACCTTTTAAAAGGAATAGGAAGGGGGATCTGTAACTATAGGAGTGCCTATATTTATCATTATCCCTTGATTACAGAATAATACTTAAGATTTTCAAAGTAGATAGCTAAATGGGTTCTTTTCTATTTTAAAAAAACTATGATGAAATTGTATAATTTTCAGCCATTTGTTTCTGGGTTAAGTTCATTGTTATTGATGAGAACTACTGTTTTGCAAATAGGTCTTGGGTTCAGCATTGCTGGAGGTGTTGGAAATCAGCATATTCCTGGGGATAATAGCATCTACGTAACCAAAATAATTGAAGGAGGTGCAGCACATAAGGATGGTAAACTTCAGATTGGAGATAAACTTCTAGCAGTAAGTATATGAAATCTATTGTTTTAAAAGTCATTTTGGTGTATATTTTTTCCTGACAGTCACTGGAATTTATACATACCAAGAATGTTTAAGTGACATTTAAATGAGTGAATTTTAGCCTTGCTTTGTCAAAACCTGAAAAGTGATTCTGGTATTACCTTTATTCACCATTTTATCTACCAGCCCCCACCTTTTCATTTATATTCATTCTCCCCCCACCCCACCTCTGCTCTCTCGCTCGCTCTCTCTCATTCCCTTTGTGTCTCAAAGAAAACAACAGGCCTCTGATGTGTTCATATCTCTCATGGTATGGGACACTGCCATGCCAGACCCCACCGAGAGAGACTGAGCTGGTAATGGCAGGAACAAAGTAAGAGCCGCAGTAACCAGGACATTCTGCCATGCTGTTGAACAAGCAGCCAAGACCTGGGCGAGGAAGACTCTTGTGAAGTCAACAGTGATATGGTGGATTCTACTCTTGGTGTTAAGAATAATTCAGCTAGGAAGAGGGGCAGTGTGTTATGTTGAACATGTGCAAGTTTCATCACCTCTACCTAACTGTGGAATTTACTGGGTCATTTGGCGTTCTGTTAATAGAATTATTTTAAAACAAAACAAAAAACACCATCCTACTTCCCTCACAACCCTCAGAAAGGAACCAACTCTGCCAGTACCTTGACTTTGAACTTCTGGCCTTTAGAAATTAGTCCATACATTTGTGCCACTTAAAGCTACCCAGTTTGTAGAGTTGGTTACAGAAGCCACAGGAAATTAATATAGATGGTGAGACTAAATTATCACTACCAGAAGTAATTTAGACATTATCATGTCTGCAACCCCTTCTCTCCCCAATTCTAACTCTTTTTTTTTTTTTTGAGGCATGGTCTTGCTGTGCAGTTCAGGCTGGCCTTGAGCCCAAATTGTAGCCCAGGCTGGTCTCAAACTCACAACGATCCTCCTGCCTCAGCCACCCAAGTGCTGGGGTTACAGGCATGTGCTACCGCGCCTGGCTTACAGCCTAATTTGAACTATTTTTCTTTTACTTATCCCCCCACAGCTATGACTGCCAGTCTTTTCCCAAGCTACAAGCAGCACCTTTTCTCTATTGCTGCCTATACCCACACTCATCTAAACAAATGTCTGTCACCAATGTGTTTCTCACTTTTTTTTAATTTCACAAATACCATGTTTTTTATTTAAGGTTTCTATAGAACCAAATTTGTTGGTTGGGAGCTGGCATCCTGTGCTGATTTCTCATCATGGCCGGACTCTGAATCTCTCTCACATCCACTTTTAATTGAGGCATTTGTTCTTACTATTACACCGAACTTAGCAGTTTTCATTCTTCATCCTCATTGGTGTCTGATATTTGACACACCTTGCTCCTTCTCCAAACCTTCAGTATTTCTATTACTTGACATTCCTCATTTTCTTTTTCTGGTGTTTACTCACCTTCTTAATGTTTAAAGATGTAAGTGATCCAGAGTTCAGTCCTTGTACGTTTTCTTTATCAGTGCTTACTTCCAATGTCACTGTTTAGGTTAACACTGTTTGGTAAATGGCCAAGTAACTTTGCTCTCAAGTCTAAAGTTTTGAAATCATGCTCTTTCTTTTATACTACACATTGAATCCTTTAGCAAATTTTGTTGTGTTCTTGTATTATTTATCTAATTCTGCATAAGAAAACACAAATTTAATGGCTGAAATTTGTTTACAATTCTGCAATTTGGGTAGAGGTTACCAAGGACAGCTTGTCTGTATTCCACATAGTGTCAACTGTGGTGGCTCAAGCAGGGCCAAGTCTCTTCCAAGTAGGCCTGCACACATGGTAAGCAAATTGGTGTTGCCTGTCAATTGGAAACGCAACTGGGGCTGTTAGCCAGGTGTTTAATTCTCCAAGGGCTTCTCCTCTAGGCTAGATTGGGTTTTTTCACAGGATGGTGACCAAGTTCCAAGAATGAGCTTTCTAAGAGGACAAGCCTTAGTGTGTGACAGTTATCCTCTCTTTGTAAGAGTTACTCTATCTCCCTAGCTAAAAACTAATCATGTGGCCACGTAAGATGACTACATATAGGAAGGGATTTTTATAAGGATAGAATATGAGCATCTAGTATGGTTCATCGCAGGCCACCAAAGGAACAGTACACCACAGTAGGTCTTTCAAAATCCAGGCATTCGCTTCTCAGCCTTTTGGCTAAGATCAAGGGTGGTATCAAAATGCAGGCAGCCCTCACTTTGCATGTTAATATAAACTATAAAAATAATTCCGCTCTTGAAAACTTGAATAATTAATGAGAAAAATTACAATGCTTCTAGACATTAAAAAAAATTTGGTCAAAACATTAGAAATTCTCCATTGTCAATATTAAAGGTAAAAATTTAGGAAATGAAAAAATTATATTAAAATTAATGTCCTAACTTTAACAATTGTATTGTGATTCTGTAAAATAATACTCTTAATATTAAAATTAATACTTTAGTACATTTTAATTTAAAACAGAAGCCTTGATGGTATTTTCTTTCTTTGTGCAAAACATTATCAAAGACAAGAACAACCTGAACATAAAGAAAAGGAAGAGAATTATAAATGTCAGTGCAAAAATAAATGAAACCAGAATTAGCAAAGCCAAAAGTTGACTAATCAACTTTAGCTAGCCAAGAAGAGAGAAGAGTAAAATTTCTAAAACCAAGAACAAGAGGCAACATAAGAGAACTGTATGAATAACTTCCTGCTAACACATTAGATAGTTTAGATGAAATGGACAAATTCCTGAAAAAAAGATGACCACTTCTATTTCACTGTTATTCTGAAAATCCTAAGCTAGAGCAATAAGAACAGAAAAAGACATTAAGAATAAAATGTAAAAAAAAAAAAAAAAAAGTCAGGCATGGTTGCACACGCCTGTAATCTCAGCACTCGGGAGGCTGAGGCAGGAGGATCGTTGCAAGTTCAAGACCAGCCTGAGCTACAAAGTGAGCCCAAGGCCAGTTCGAACTGCATAGCGAGACCCTGTTTCAAAAAGACCAAAAAAGAATAGAATGTAGCTTAGTGGTAAGAGCATTTGCCAGCACTTGTGAGGCCTGCCTGGGTAGAGAAGAAGAATAGAAAGTAGAACTGTATTTGTAGGTCACATACACACACACACACAAAAGTCCAAGGAAACATACTAATAGAACTAATAAATAAATTCAGCAAGTTGGCAAGATATACATTAGTATTTACATTTTATTTATATTTCTGTGCAGAAGATAGATGAATGGCCAATAAAGAATTGCGAAAAAACTCTACTTTTGACAGTGAGCATATAAATTTAAATAATTTGATGTACAGAGAAAGTAAGACACTCATCTTACCTTTTAAATGATACTCAGTACTGACAAAGATCTAAGTGGAGAGCAATCTGGTAATGCATGAATTTACTAAAAGCCATTTAGGAGAACAATTTAAATCTGTTGATTTGGGAGTGGTTTAATAAAGTATGATATAACCACATAATGGAAGTACTGTGTAGTGGGTGGTTTTTTTAATTGTAGTGTGTATCTCAACATGGAACAGTCTCTAAGATACTTAACATTAAGGACCCATTTGCAAAATACAAGTTTTAACATGGTCTCATTTCTTTAAATAAAAACTAAAGTGTGCCCACGTGCACTACATTCCCAAATTCCTAAGACTGAGAGGAAGTTAACATACATACTTTCCTGATATCACAAATAATAAAAAATGAGTATTTTCACACCACACACTTCTATTCTTTAAATCACCCCTTATATTCCCTGATTTAGTGTAATAATTTATAACCAAAATCAAGAAAGCAAATGCAAATGTTTTCAGTGTCTCTTGGGATTGTCTTTTAGGTGAATAGTGTATGTTTAGAAGAAGTTACTCATGAAGAAGCAGTAACTGCTTTAAAGAACACGTCTGATTTTGTTTATCTGAAAGTGGCAAAACCCACAAGTATGTACATAAATGATGGTTATGCACCACCAGATATCACCAACTGTAAGTCTGTTTGCTTAAGCTTGCTTAAATTTATCTTCTTTAGATGCAGTGCACTTTAATAAAATCTTCCATATAATAGAAAAAGGTTAAACGTTGTATTATTTTTAAATGACTGTTAAGCTTTTTAATCTAGTAGTTTAAGTGAGAATCTTCACCCGCTTAAACTTAAAAGGAAGTGGGAACTCTTTTCCTCTTTACTGCTTAACAATTTAAAGCATTGTTTCTCAAGGCTTTAGGTAAATAACAGTCATCAGAAAGTATTTGTAGCTGGGGATTTAGCTCAGCGGCACAGCGCCTGCCTGGCAAGCGCAAGGTCGTGAGTTCGATTCCCGGTACCGGAAAAAACAAAAAAAACCCAAAGTATTTGTAAATAGTGTAAATTCTTGTTTTGTTCTAAAAGTTTTGTTAAGCACACAGATAGAATTGTTAGTTTACTAGCAAGCTGATCTGTGCTGCTGGTTCATGGAATGCACTTTGAGAAACTGATTTTAAATATTCCTTGGATGGAAGGGATTTTTTTATACCCACAGTTGCAGAAGCACAGATACTGTCTTTGTGCTTTAAGCTTCTAGTTCAGTGATGGCAAACTTTTTAGAGCTTTCAGTGATAACAAACATCCCATCAGCACCACATGTGCCATAGGTTCACCACCATTGTGAGTCTGTTGCTTATTTGTGTGCAGTCCAATTTGTGAGTAGTAAAGGTCTAAAATGTATTTGTAATCTACTTTGAATACTCCTTTTTTAAATTGTGATTTTTATACATATTTCTAATTTTAAAACTGTCAAGATTCATTACTATCACTAGTCACTATAAGTTAAATACAAATTATATTTTGAAATCTCTTTATTATTCTCCAGTAACACATCTTATTGTCTGTTCATTGATTTATATTAGCTGCTCAAATACAAGTGAATTCTTAACAATACTCAACCTAAGGGACAGAGATGGTGTCTTACGCAAAGATTTTTGTATATTTTTATTTGTGATTAAAGATGCAGTTTCATTAATAATCTGTTGATTCATCAATTCAGGTATTGGTCATATTTTGAATACGCTTTTGTCTTCAAGACAAACATGCACATTTGGGACATGTATTCCCAAACTGAAAATTGGTACCTGACAATAACCAAACATACAAGTAGCCAGGCTGCTTCTTACAAATATGTTAAGCAGAGAAAAACATTACTTTATTGACTTATTCGTTGCTATGTATAGTAATTTGACCTTTAAAGCAGAATAGCTAGTCCTAAGAGAGATAATTAAACGACTGTGTACTGTATGTAGGCAGGATATTTATTTCTTTGTTGTTGATGTGTTTTCCATCCATTATTGAACTAATAGACTGTTACAAAAAAGTTACATATAGTTCACTTCGCTAGTTAAACTTCTGTCATATTTTACTCGCATTTCCTTTTCTTCTTGCACAACTACCGTGGTGAATTTTGTATAATTCTGGTCCATATTTATCCTATATATAATTTACAGACAGTTTATTCATGTAGGTCTTTTTGTGTTTTAAAGTTTCTTACCTAAGTGATTTTTGTCTGTTAAGCTTTCCTAAGTCTTTGTTTTTAAACCATTCAGTTTATTGCCTGTTCTTTATATTGTAGCCATCTGATGTCCTCCTCATGAATCTGTCTTTATTCATTGAAGATTTTATTGCTAGCCCATTGCCTTTCTTGCTGTGTTTATAGTATTCTTAGTGATAACCAAAACCCATGCAAACAGTTTAGCCAAAAGCCCGGCCTATTGGTTTCTTGATCTGTTCCTAACTGTCTTGCCCTCCATTTCAGCTTAGGTAATTGCTTGTTGGATAATACTTTAGATCTTACCCATAATGGTCAACTCCTTCATCATATTGAAAATACCAGTTTAAGCCACTCCATTTCTCCGTCCAAACAGTCAGTTCACACGCTCCTGTTCTAGCAATTCAACTTCATTTTGACCTTCAGTTATTTGACATTATTGCTTTACTGCCCCCTTACATGTCCATCTTTCTAATTTTTTATTTAGGTTACGCTCTGTTTTGTTGTGATACTCATTTCCTTGTGTGTATCTCCCGATCCTTTGGCCCTTCCTCCTTAATAGGCAAAAATACCAACACTGGTTCAACCAAATTCTGTCTTCCTCATTCCTGCTTCTAAAAGCAGAACGTGACTGGAGAAGTACACAGAATTGTACTACGTTTTAACTTATGGGTGAATCTTAGATGGCACCTCACTCTTGCCAGCTGCATTTCTCTATCACTCTCACATTCTGAGAAGTCTTCCCTCTTCATAACTTCATTTGCCATCCACACCTCAGTTTATCCGATGACTGTATGTCATATTCCATTAAGCATGCAGAAGAAAATGTCCTTACTCTCTTGCTTTTAAGTCTACCTATGTAAGTACAGTTTTGCCCAAAAGCTCTGCTTTCCCTTGTGTATACTGGAATAACTATCATTGTTCCTGTCAAAGAGGAGTTCTGTTTGTGTTAAATCTCATTTCCTATCCAAAAGAGTCTTGTTCTTGCATCTGTCCCTTCTATTACATGATAATGTTCTTTCTACTGAATCATTACTATGAGCACAAATGAGCACATGAACATACTGTATAACATTCCCTGTCTTGGGGAGGAGCTGAGGGTAAGAAGCAACCTTCATACCATCTGAGATACTAGTGCTCTACTATATTTCTCCATTTAATACTACAAAGAAATAGTACTCTTACTATCTAAGGAACTTTGTCACATGGGTGGGGGCAGTAGTCTGTAAAAGATTCCTTTAGATAATGAAGAATACTCAGTCTAGTCATAAGAGAAGAAATACAGATGAAAACTATGCTTATTGTAGAGCAAATTACTATCCTTGTTCTTTTTTTTTTTTTTTTTTTTTAAGTTTATTGGTACAATTTAAGTGTACAGAATGACCACATTCATTATAGGGAATTAGTGTCAGCACATGATACATCTTTTTTTCTTTCAAATGGCCTTACCTGGATTTCATTGTACAACTAAATTAATGTGTAAAGCAACATTTTAGTTATATTTTCTCAAGGAATACAATGGTTTCTTGTTTGTATTTTTGGAAAACAGTTGAACCCAGGCAGGTGCTCTTCCGTTGAGCTACATCCCTAGCCCCAAAGAATGCAGGCATGGTGCATTTGCCTTATTGATCCAAATGTCTAAAGTAGCTTTTACCTAGAAATTGACTTTGTGCCATTTTTTAGCTGGTAGATATTTTCTGCCAGATTCTGATACATAAATTAGTGAACCTGAATTATACTTTATTACCTTAAAATTTACATATAAGGTGCCAAGTGACTTGTTTCATTTTTTTAATTTTTCACTTTCCTTGTTTTAAAGCAGCTTCTCAGCCTGTTGATAATCATGTTAGCCCATCTTCCTTCTTGGGCCAGACACCAGCATCACCAGCCAGATACTCACCAGTTTCTAAAGCAGTGCTTGGAGATGATGACATTACTAGGTAAGGAATTTAAAGTAGCATTCAGTTTTTTTATAGTTATTCAGTTCTATTTGTTGTACAAATTAATAGGTTTCATACTGTGCCTTGTAAAGTCAATTATTAATCAGCAACAAATGATAGCCACAATATTTAGGGCTAAAAATTTTATTGATAGTTGATAAACTTAAACCTTTGTATTTTTTATTGGAAGGATCATGGAAGAGCCTGAAGTATAAAAATATTTTCTACTACAAACAAATTACTGTTTTTTTTTAATACCACCATTTTTTAAAAGCTTGGTAAGACCTTAGAAATAATCTTAGGCAAAATGTAAGAATATACTTAAGCATTTTTTTTTACCTAGTTATTTTTTTTTTTCCGATACCACGAATCAAACTCACAACCTTGCACTTGCCAGGCAGGCGCTGTGCCACTGAGCCAAATCCCCAGCCCCTTGAGCATATTTTAAACTAACTTTATGTATCCCTTCACTAGTTCATACTATAATATATTTTGACAGTTATTTGATTGATACTCAAAAACAAGTGGTATTTTCTTGGTTTGATATATATCCTTGATATCCTGGCACCTAAAATTCACTTTTGCCTAACATTGTTAATTGCACTGAATTTTTCAGGCTCTAAGAATTTCAGTGAGATGGAAAGTAATCAGTTTTTTTAAAAAGTATTTTAGCTCTTTTCATATAATTTGAGGTGATTTATACAAATACTACATATTAGCTAGAACACTTTATATATATGCTAATGGCTGTTTTATGGTTTTATTAGTTGCATCATAGTTACTTTTTGTTTGTTGGTTTTTGTCTTTTTGAGGCAGAGTCTCACTGTGCAGTTCAGGCCGGCCTTGAACTAACTTTGGCTGGCCTGAAACTCACAGCGATCCTCCTGCCTCAGCCTCCTGCATGCTAGGATTACAGGAGTGTGCCACCAGGCCCAAGAAAGCAGTATTATTTTTGAACCTTTGTTTTTATAATGATTTTTTTTGTCAGATTCCTTACTCCAGACAATGATCTCTGCAAGGACAAAGGGGAAGACAAAGTCTCTCAGATTTAACGTTGCTGTAAACAACAGAGGTGCTCACTCGCTAGTTGTTTTCAGAATGAAATTAGCAAAAAGAATAGTATATTTATTGTAATAGGAATATTCAAGACTGTTAGTTTTTAGGGATTGTTCCTAGACTGATCTTACTTAACCATTTACTTTTGTTATTTGCTGGTAGTGCCTTACTTAACCATTTACTTTTGTTATTTGCTGGTAGTGCCTATTTCTAGAAGAAGAAGAGTTAATGGCTTGTCTAATCTTTAGTCTCTTTAGATATTTTACAAATTAAAATATACTTTTTAATGTTTATTTTTATTAGTACATGTTTGCAGTACATAATGATTACATTCCTCATGGGGAATTGGTACATAACATAAGATATGGCATAACATATCTTAATTATTTTCTAAAATATAAGTCATATCTACACCTTTATTCCTGTCCCCATCCTTCTTCATTGCATATCTCTTATCTAAAATACTGTATTGGACTTTATTGTGTTTGTTTGTTTATTTGTTTGTAACAGATGTGAAGTTTCTCATTGTGATTTTGATTTACATTGCCCTTCTAATCAATGGTATAGCTGGCCGTGGTGGTGCATGTCTGTAATCCCAGCACTTGGGAAGCTGAGGCAGGAGGATCATTATGAGTTCAAGACCAGCCTGAGCTACAAAGTGAGCTCAAGGTCAGCCTGAACTGCATAGGAGACCTGACCCTGTCTCAAAAAGACCAAAAAGACAAAAAAAAAAAAAAGAAACCAATGGTATAAAGGATTTCTCATGTGTTTATGTTATTTGAAGACTAGAATGTATTGTCTTCCAAAAGTGCTATTGGATTTCAGGAAGTATTTTTAATTATTATTTACTCATACTAAAATAATTTATATACACATTGTAAAGCACAATAGAAACCCTAAGCCATCAATCCACTGTCTAAAATTAGAAATTAAAACATCATCAATATAGTAAAACCTAACTGTGATCCTGATTCTGCCCTGCTTCTCCTATACTGCTTCTCGAAAATACTGCTTTCCTAAATTTGATAGTTATTATTCATTTTTTTCTTTTGTGTGTTATGTGTATAATATCTCCCTAAATAGTATCTTGTTTAGTTTTACTATTTTTGACAACAAAATACGTTGTGAGCCCCTTATAACTAAGCTGGAAAAATTAAGTAATGATGAATGTCTATATATGTCTAGAAAGTACTACTTTAAGTTTTGAACAGGCTGATGTTTAAGAAGATTGTGTAATTAAAGTTATTGATTTGCAAGTAGTAGTAAACACTTCATATTTTGATTTCCCCTCCATTTTAGTTTAATATAATTTGCAATAAATGTACATACTGTGTTTCATAAAACATCACTTTACAGTGGTTTTTAGTCCCATGACCATGACGGAAATAATGGAATTTTGAAGGAGTGAAGACCTTTCAGCATTTGGTTTTA